AACCAAAAGAGAGCCCGCATAGCCAAGTCAATTCTAAGCAAAAGGATCACAGCGAGGGGCATCACACTACCAGATTTCAAAGTATACTACAAGGCTACAGTAATCAAAACAGCATGGTACTTGTACCAAAACATAGATATAAACCAATGGAACAAAACAGAGGCATCAGAGGCAACACAACATATCTACGACCATACAATCTTTGATAGCCTGACAAAAACAAGCAATGGGGAAAGAATTCTCTGTTTAACAAATGGTGTTGGGAAAACTGGCTAGCCATGTGCAGAAAGCAGAAACTGGACCCCTTCCTGACACCTTATACTAAAATTAACTCCAGATGGATTAAAGACTTAAACAATAAAACCTGGCACCATAAAAACCCTGGAAGGAAATCTAGTCAAAACCATCCAGGTCATAGGAGTAGGCAAGGACTTCATGAACAAAACACCAAAAGCATTGGCAACAAAAGCCAAAATAGACAAATGGAACCTAATCAAACTCCACAGCTTCTGCACGGCAAAAGAAACAGTCACTAGAGTGAATCGGCAACCAACAGAATGGGAAAAAATTTTTGCAGTTTACCCATCTGACAAAGGGCTGATATCCAGAATTTACAAAGAACTCAAACAGATTTACACGAAAAAAACAAACAAGCCCATTCAAAAATGGGCAAAGGATATGAACAGACACTTTACAATAGAAGACATATATGAGGCCAACAATCATATGAAAAAATGCTCATCATCATGGGTCATCAGAGAGATGCAAATCAAAACCACATTGAGATACCATCTCATGCCAGTTAGAATGGCGATCATTAAAAAATCTGGAGACAACAGATGCTGGAGAGGATGTGGAGAAAAAGGAACACTTTTACGCTGTTGGTGGGAGTATAAATTAGTTCAACTATTGTGGAAGACAGTGTGGCGATTCCTCAAGGCCTTAGAAATAGAAATTCCATTTGACCCCGCAATCCCATTACTGGGTATATATCCAAAGGACTATAAATCATTCTACTATAAGGACTCATGCACACGAATGTTCATTGCAGCACTGTTTACAATAGCAAAGACCTGGAACCAACCCAAATGCCCATCGATGATAGACTGGATTGGGAAAATGTGGCACATATACACCATGGAATAATATGCAGCAATCAGAAATGATGAGTTTGTGTTGTTTGTAGGGACATGGATGAATCTGGAGAACATCATTCTCAGCAAACTGACACAAGAACAGAAAATGAAATACCGCATATTTTCACTCATAGGCGGGTGATGAAAAATGAGAATACATGGACACAGGGAGGGGAGTACTAAACACTGGGGTCTATTGGGGGGAAAAGGGAATGGCCAGAGGGGTGTGGATATGGGGAGGGATAGCCTGGGGAGAAATGCCAAATGTGGATGAAGGGCAGAAAGGAAGCAAAACACACTGCCATGTGTGTACCTATGCAACTGTCTTGCATGTTCTGCACATGTACCCCAAAACCTAAAAAGCAATAAAAAACTTAAAAAAAAAAGCAGGCGTTGCAATTCTCGCCTCTGATAAAATAGACTTTAAAGCAACAAAGATCAAAAGAGGCAAAGAAGGACATTACATAATGGTGAAACGATCAATGCAACAAGAAGAGCTAAATATATACGCACCCAATACAGGAGCACCCAGATACATAAGACAAGTTCTTAATGACTTATAAAGTGACTTCGACTCCCACAAAATAATAGTGGGAGACTTTAACATCACATAGTCAATATTAGACAGATCAACGAGACAGAAAATTAACAAGGATATCCACGACTTGAACTCAGACCCAGAACAACTAAACTTAATAAACATTTATAGAACTCTCCACCTCAAATACACAAAACATACGTTCTTATCAGTACCACATCACACCTACCCTAAAAGTGACTACATAATTGGAAGTAAATAACTCCTCAGTAATTGCATAGCATTTCATAGGTTTAAATAAAATATTGGTTGGCTGCTTGTTTGTTATTTTTCTCCCTTATTCTTTCCTGTCTCCATTGTAAAAACAAAAAAGAAAGAAAGAAAGAAAGAAAGAAAGAAAGAAAGAAAGAAAGAAAGAAAGAAAGAAAGAAAGAAAATGGATTTTTTATTGGTATTGTGCTTGTAAGTTTACCCAATTTGTTTACTATCTCTAATAATTTTTAAACATTTCTTAGGAATTTCTATGTATGACTTCATGTGATAATTGATTCTCAAATAGTTGTTATTTTATTTTCTTGCATAATTTCCCTACTTGTATTTTCCAATATACTATTTAATACATGAATGAAAGTAGGTATCTGTGCCTTGTTATTCTGTTAGGAATAAACCTTTCAGTGATGACAATTGAGTATGTTTACTGTTGGTTTTACAAAATTGCTTTTGATTATGTTTAAGAAATGTCCTGCTATTTCTAGGTTATATGAGTGTTTTTTATCATGACGTGGTGTTGAACTTTGTCGGAAGCCCTTTCTGCATCAGTTGGGAGAATTATGGAGTGTTTTTTATTTCTTCTAATAATACAGTGTGCTACATGGATGGCATTAGTGTGTGGAACGAGCGTTGATTTTTCGGGATAAAGAAATCGTGTTTGTGGTATTTGATACTTTCCAAATGCCGTTGGTTTAAATTTACTATTATTTTGTTGAGGATTACTAAATCTGCATTTCTGAGGTTATAAATGTGTAGATTTCAGTCTTTGAAATGGTGTGACACTGTGTAGGATTAATCAGGATGGGATTGGGTATAGATTGCAGTATTTACAGAGTTAGTGTGTAAGTGTATTACACAATCAGGACATAGACTACAAGCTAAGTTTACCAGTTAAAGATTATGCTATAAGGACTCCAAGATAGGAGGTCCAGGTTGGTGGTTGAGAGCTCCATAGTAGAGATGAGAGGGAGAGATTAGGCTGACTAACAGGATTAGGTTGACAGGTCAGAATTACAGTGAAGGGCTAGGGTGAACGTTTTAGCGAGATTTTGGATTGGGGTTATATACAGGTTAGAGTAGGTTTAGCTTAAGGTAAGGATTAGAGTGGGTAAAAGTAATATTAGGGTTGATGATTGAGGGTTAAACTTAGATTATATTTAGAGTTAAGGGTAACTGGAGTAAGGTTAGGGTTAGGGATTAGGATTAAAGGTTAGCATTAAACTTTACAGTTTAGAGTAGGAATTAGGTTTAGGGTTTAGGGCAGTGGTTAGGGTAAGTATTAGGAATTTAGTGTTGAGTTAGGTTTAGAAATAGGGTTGGGGGATAAAGTTAGGATTGGTTGGTTTAGGGTTAGGTGTTAGGGTTGGACTTAGGGTTTAGGATTAGGGTTAGTGTGAGATTTAGGGTTAGGGGTTAGGGTTAGGATTAGGGCTAGAGTTAGGGTTAGAGTTCGGCCTTCGGCAAGGCTTAGCATTAGGGCTAGTGCTAGGGCTAGGGCTATGTTTAAGGTTAGGGTTTAGGGGTCAGGGTTAGAGGGTCAGGGTTAGAGTCAGTGTTAGGGTTAGGGTTTAGGGCAGGGTTAGGCTTAGGGTTCATGGTTAGTCTCAAAGTTAGGGGTTATGGGTTAGGGCTAGAGTTAGGGTTAGGGTTAGGGTTAGGGATATGAGACCTGGAGTCAAAGGAGATGATTTTGGAACTTTATAATTTTATTGCCCTATTGGATTTATGTCTTGAATGGGACCTGTAATCCCTTTTCTCTCTCATTTGGAATACCTGTATTTTCTCAATGCCTGTATCCCCATTTTATCTACGAAGTAACTATCTTGCTTTTGGTTTTACAGCTGCATAGGTAGAAGGGACTTGCCTTTTCACAGATGAGACTATGGACTGTGAACTTTTGAGTTAATGTTGAAATAAGACCTATGGGATTGTTGGGAAGGCATGATTGGTTTTGAAATGTGAGGATATAAGATTTGAGGGGTCAAAGTTAAAGAATCATAGGAATATAGCTAAACATAAAAACTTTGCAAACCCATAATTTCTATGATGAAACAACTACATTTTATTGTCTTTTTATGTATAATACGTTTTAATGTTTTGTTAACCCAATGAAATGTGAGTTTTGTGATTTTGATTTTACTATAGCAATGGTTTTATAAACAAAGAAAAATGAATAATTCAGGATTGCAGAGATGGTAGACTATTAAAAGTAGTTTGGGTATTAAATTATTATGAAACAATTGTGTATTAAATAATTCTAAATCCAACAGTTGTGATTGAACAGATCTGTAGGCATATGTCAGCGTTGAGGTGAAAGTGACAACCAAAGCAATTATGTCGAACATTTATGTCTGGAGGTAATTGATAGAGGAACTGGCTGTGGACCTTCACCTCTGCATCACCTTTGTTTCGTGCTATAGCTGAGTATCAAAAACAAAACAAAACAAAACCACCACTTATTTCTCAAAGAGAGAGAAAGAATATTTCCTTCAATTTAAGCATTTCTAAATTGCCACCCGATGGCCCCTGCACTCCTGGAGGAGGCCAAGGCAAAGCAGACTCTCAGGTGGGAGGGCAATGCACTTGACCTGAGGACATCACATTCCCAGCCCCCTATCCACAGCGGGCACTCGAATCACTTTGCAGCCCAGACGTGGCAAGGGAGCAGCAAGTGGCTGGACACCCCAGACCAGGCCCACGCTCCGGGCAGCAGGAATCCCAGTGCTAGGCATCCAGGCAGCAAAGTCAGGCGGTCAACCCTGCCAGCTGCCGCTCAGTCTCATCGGTGTGGATGCAGAGTGCCCAGCGCAGAAGGCCAGAGTCCGGAGAGGTGTTCAAGAGGAGCGGACCCTCAGGCCACATGGGCTGTGCACTCGTCGACCCTGATGCCACCCAAGCGAAGCTCCACCATCCCACACCACTACCAGAGCTGCACTGCTAACTGCGCATCCGGCATGGGCAGCAGTGGGGGTCGGTGGAGGAAGGAGCAACCCCCGACTATCCATGCGTTTCCTGCTCCCTGACACCTGCCAGGCAGACCCCGGGACCAGACTCACAGCGTTGAAGCCATGCCATCTGCGAAGCCGCTCCAGTGCCGCGGAGTGCCCATGCCAGACCGATCTCCCTTTGAGGAGGAGTGGGGCAGCGGCAGCGGCAGACAGGCCTCCCCCTCCTCCCGTATATGAGATATATGTAAGGATTGATAATGTTCCATCAGGGACTCATGCTTCTGATATGAAACGCACGCCTGCGATCCTGCACCTGTGGTCCTCCGACAGCCCAGGCGAGCCCAGGAGAACCCGGAGCCCAGGGATGCCTGAGCCGAGCTGCAGCCCCACCTGTCTGCGCACGCCTGGTAGCGGCTTCCGGGAGCCAGGCGGCCACCACGGCGCAGGCGCGCGCCTAAGGGCTCTGCGGGGCTTGCTTGGTCTGAGAGTCGGAGGCTGCAAGTGCTGCTGCTGAAGACTGCGGTGGACCTGGCGGGATAGCGGATTCTGGGCTAGAAAGCAGATTTGGGATCGCAGATTGGGGGTTGGCGCCAGGTGGGGGTGGGAGGAGCGTGGCTTAGGAGCTGGTTGTTGGGGATCTGAGAAGAAGTCACCACTTTGACTTCTTCCGTCCCTCGGCTGCGGGAGCCAGGGACCAAAGCAGAGCAGAACCTCAGGTCCTGGGATCCATAGACCCGGTCTACACTGCTTCCGGGAACCGAATCTGGGACACGGAACAGCGGAAGATCCACAGGGTGGCTGTCAGGGGCGACGCCGCGGAGGTGGAGCTGCCTGGCGCGCAGGAGCGGAGACCTGGACGCCAGGGACAAGCCTCACAGGTAGCGGGGCTCAGCCTGGGGTGGGAGGGTTTCCTAGGCTCGGCTTCCCCCCGGGACGGGGCCTTGGAGGCACCCTCAGAGCAGCGGAGCCAAATGAGCCTCAGCTGCTTTATCCCTCCTAATTACCCGGCTGGAGCACTTGGTGGAGAATGTAAGTGATTTAACTCACTAAGGCTTATATACAGTGTTGTTATTTTTAACGTTCACGTTTAAAACATGGTGTTTTATGCATTACAGGAGGTCCCTACTGAGATAACTCATTCCCCTATCAAAAATACCGGGAATGATTTTCAGTAGGCGGAAATTTCTCAGATGAAATTGCCCATTTTACATAAATTGGTTCTTTACTGAAGAGTCTTAGAGGGAAACTTGGAAGTGGGAGGTGGGTTTTGTGTTCTTGAATGAGAGGACACATTTTTCTCAAAATGTGAGCTCTTTCTGTGTTTCTCAATTTTACATAAACCGAATGAAAATATCAAGGTTTTAACATTTTTACATAACACTTGCTGTCTTTTACTATCGTGATGACTTTTTAAATAATTTTATAAAGGACTGAAAAAATACTGGCTTCTCTAGATATTAAAATGTGCTATTAATTTCTACAATTAATTGTTTACTAACAGCTGAAAATACAGATAAATGCATGGAACAAAATATGAAATCTAGAAATTCTAAAATGAAATAAGATATATGTAAGGACTGATAATGTTAACAGATATGAATAGGAAAGGATGAATTATTAATGAAAAAAATGCCTGCTCTTTGAAGAAAACTAGTGAATTTTACATCACAAACATGAGTGCCTGATGGAACACAAATTGAAACTTTTACATATGCAAGTGAGAAAAGTATCAGAAGAAAACACAAATGCTCATTTTACAGGTATATTTTATGTTGACAAAGCCTTCCTAAGAATGACCTCAGAGGCAGGCATTCTGAAGGTTGATTTAGCAAACTAAAAATTAAAACTGCCTGTGTATCATAAAAAAAATTAGAAATTAAAGAAAACATACGTGAAAAGTATTTGCCATATTATATATATATTCAGATAAGAAGTGTGTTTTCATTTTACAGGGAATTCATTATATATCATGTGATATGTATGGTACTGTTATGTATAGCATATATGTTACATATATAATGTTATATGTATATCGTTTACAAATTAGATGAAAAGTTACATATATACACATTAGATGGAAAGTGCATGTTCATTTTATAGGAAATTCTTTTGAATCAAATAAAAACTCTAATAAAATTGGGAAAATAACTTTTTTGTAGATTTACAAATTACTTATGTACATAGGAAAGAATCCTTTGCGTTTCTGATATAAGAATTTAGATTCTCTCTTTAGTAGAGAATTTAAATTGAAAGACGAATGAAACTGTTTTCTGCACACATACATACATACAAGTTTTTGAGATGGAGTCTTGCTCTTTCACCCAAGCTGGAGTGCAGTGGTGCAATCTCTGCTTGCTGCAACCTCTGCCTCCTGGGTTTAAGCAATTATCTTGTCTCATCCTCCCAAGTAGCTGGGACTACAAGTGTGCACTACCAATCCAGGCTAATTTTGTATTTTTGGCAAAGACAGGGTATCGCTGTGTTGGTCAAGCTGCTCTCAAACTCCTGACCTCAGGTAATCCACTGCCTTGGTCTGCCAAAGTGATATAATTACAAACATGAGCAAACTCACCTGGCCAATATATATACATATATATATATTTTGATACAGAGTCTTGCTCTGTCTCCAGGTGCCAGGCTTGAGTGCAGTGGTACAATCTAGGCTCAGTGTAACCTCCGTCTCCTGGGTTTAAGCAATTCTCCTGCCTCAGCTTCCCAAGTAGCTGGGTCTATAGGCATGTGCCACCACGTCTAGTTAATTTTTGTATTTTTAAGGTGGGGTTTCACCATGTTGGCCAGGATGGTCTCAATCTCTTGACCTTGTGATACACCCACCTCAGCCTCCCAAACTGCTGGGATTACAGGCGTGAGCCACTGCGCTTGGCTGCCAATATGTATTTTTAAAATGTTTTCTTATTTTTGGTGGAGTTTGCAAAGTAGAGTTAGGTACTTGGAAGTTAGTTCCTGACTGAAATATGCACATGCTAATATTTTGACTGTGAATATGTTTCCTTTGGACTGCCATGCTCAGAGAAGCAAGTCAATGGACATACGAAGATAACAGATGAGCCTGATCTAGAAAGTGTAGATGATATTCTCTATTGAAATGCTTTGGTTTTTGGTACATGCAGGCTGCAGTGCAGTGGCATGATCTTGGCTCGCTACAGTCTCCACCTCCCAGGGTCAAGTAATCCTCCCACATCAGCCTCTGAAGTAGCTGGGACTATGAACACACATCACAATGCCCAAACCTTATCTTTTTTTTTTTTTTTTGGTAAAGATAGGTTCTCATTATGTTGCCCAAGTTCATCTTGAAGTCCAAGCTCAAGCAATCCACCTACCTTGGTTTTGCAAAGGGCTGGGATTATAGGAGTGAGGCACCAAGCTTGGGTAAACTTATATATATATATATAAGTAAATTGATGAGTGCTGGGTGTGGTGGTACACATTGGTTATCTTGACATTTTAGGAGGCAGAAGTGAAAGGATTACTTAAGACCAGAAGTTTGGGCCTGGCTCAGTGGCTCATGCCTGTAATACCAGCACTTTGGGAGGCTGAGGTGGGTGGATCATGAGGTCAAGAGATCGAGACCATCCTGATCAACATGGTGAAACCCCATCTCTACTATAATACAAAAAAAAAAAAAAAATAGCTGGGTGTTAGAGACCGTAGTGAGCCATAATTATGCCACTACATTCCAGCCCTCGGTGACAGAGTGAGACTTTGTTTAAAAGAAAAAAGAAAAAAAATTGTTAAAGTCTTTATGTGACTCATTATAATTTTTTAAATAAAAACTCATGTTTGATATTACCTCAACAGTGTGTCTCCAAGAAAGTGTCAGAGCCTTTACCCAGACCTTCCAATGGGAAAAAAAAAGAAAAAGTATAGTGAATGTAAAAGAAGGTAAGAATACTATTTTATTTAAAAAGTCATTTGATGGAATGTTTTCTTTTTTAAAAAAAAATATGAGCACTAACATATTCAAATAGCTAAGAAAATGTCCTATTAAGTGTATATTAAGTAAAGGAGAAGTAAAATGTTGATAAGTTGTATATCTAATCAGGGGTCAGCAGTCGCGTCTATTAGTTGAATTATTAGTTTCCATTTTAAGATACTCTAATATCTGAGGTAAGTCAGGAAAGAGGGAAGAGGAAATAAATAAAAGAGAAAAAATGTGGAGGGCAGAGTGTACATGGAATAAATGAAGAGAGTATGCGAGTGTATGTAAAGGAGGGTAGTAAAGTCAAATTTATTTATAGAAGGAAGAGCAGGGTGATAGAAATAGGAAAGAAGGTAACATCAGCTTCCAGCCCCAAAATGTGTCAGAGAATTAGAGTAACATCTTCCTGCTTTGCTGTCATTCTCACTATTGGAGAGGCACTGAGGTACCTCACCACACAGATCTGCATTTGATCTATCATAGATGACTATCACCATAAATAGTCAGCCATGTATGGACATAATTTAGTTTTATAGAAAATGTTATAACTTCATTGGACAGTATCATATATACCAAATTAACATAATTGAATAATGTCATGTGATTTATAGAGAGGAAGTTAGAGAAGGTATAGCCTGATTAAAAGTTTATTAGAAAGATTATGGTGGGGAGGACTCAAGATGGCGCTGTGAGAACAACCCAGGATTGGAGCACTCCTTGAATCCGTGGAGAGGTGAGTCGGAGCTGCATTTCCAGACTGATCTTTGTTGCCCACAGAACGGGGAAATTCCCAAGTATAAAGGAGACACGGGACGCCAGCAGTACCTCTGCCTGGTGAAGCCGGCAGCCGGGATGGCGGCAGCTGGCCCTACCCAGCGCTTCCCACAGGGCGTGCTTGTCCGGGTACCCTGTTGAACCAGCAAACTGAGACTTGAGAGGGCTGGACTTGAGACTGAACGAGACTTGGATAGTGGGCCAGCCCAGGGGATTGCAGGGACAGAGCGTCTGAGGTAGCCCAGTGGGACGAACAAAACCGCGATTTCAAACAATCCCCATGCAGGCGGTCTGAGATGCTCTGTGGGGGAGGGGTGTCCACCATTACCAAGGCAACCCACCCCAACTGAGATACACGCCCACTGCTGATGCAGCCAGACGTTGCCGAGGCAACCCGCTACAACAGAGAGACTCTGCCTCAGGGCGTGGCAGAGACCACAGCAGAACAGCAGAGCCTGCAGCAACAGGGCAAACCACACAACAGCAGGGCAGAGCCTCAGCAGGCAAGCAGTGGCTAGTCTGCCTCCTAGCTGGGCAGGACACCTCAACCGACA